AGATAGGAAGAGATAGGAAGAGATAGGAAGAGATAGGAAGAGATAGGAAGAGATAGGAATAGATAGGAATAGATAGGATTAGATAGGATTAGATAGGAATAGATAGGATTAGATAGGAATAGATAAGATTAGACTAGATTGGATAGGATTAGATAAGATAAGATTAGACTAGATTAGATTAGGTTAGATAGGTAGATAGACAGATACATAGTTAGTGCTAGTGCGACTTGTGGGCCTTTGTGCTGATACATCTATAATTAGACACTGTGCCGATACGGCCGGTCTTCGGCAGTGCTCATCAAATTATGACAGAACAAGACCCTCCAAGAAGGTGGGCTTGATACCAGTTTCGGAGGACAAACACCTCTCTCCACGGTGTCACCGGTTTGCCGAGCACCGCAGTTCGAAACGAGTCTAAATGGACTCTAAATCCAAAGATGTGAGGCGTCCCACTATGAATTGCCAATCAGGAACCACAGGGCGGCCCCAGCAAGAACGTCCACAGTGCGGCAGCGCAGTTTCCTCCATCCCAAACCCCCACATGTGGCATGCACTGTGCCGTATTGCCCCCAACAACCCCTCTGAGATTGGGCCCTCTCCATCATGCCCCCTCTCATGAACCCCTGGTCCTCGGTGTATTGATAGGTCTGCGGATCGCCGGGGATCAACGGTGCGAAGTCCCAAGTCTTCCGCCTCTCGCGCAGCGGCCGGTAGTGCTGCCATTTGCCTTGGGGTGAGAGCTGGGCCGAGCGAATGGGGATCGGTTTGGAGCGATCTCGTCGAGGTTAGTTGAAATTCCCAACACACAACCTGTCTGGGACAGGAAAATCATGTGGACATCGTCATCATTCCCAAAAGTACGGGGGGTGGGGGTAGGGGACCTGAAAAATTGGTGTGCAAGAGCTCCAAATGCGGAACAGGGCCCAAAGCACATTGTAGGAGAGATCTAGGATTCCATCCTGGAATCCAGGATCGTTCAGGATAGATCTCTCCACCTCTCTTGGTCATGTGATTCAAGGTCATCCCCTCCAGACTTCGTAGTGAAAGGGTAGACGAAGGTTCTAAGAGGCGGAGGGATGTCCGGTGAACACGTCTTAAGAGACCTGGCAACGGACACCGTGCCCGTGACTCAGTACGGGGCCCAGAGAGAGGGCACATGCGGGCCAAACATACTGTGTCAAACAACTCTGTCCCCCGTCATGATCCCCCCTCCAATCTTAGGGCATCAGGGGCTTGTTATGCTTTTTTATATGTCTTTTTTGCTGTTGACCTGAACCGATCACAGCACCGAGACTTTTGGACTGCAGACATCTGTTCCTTTGGGAGTATGTCCAGCAAAAACGGCTCAGCTGCGAGTGGGGATGGAGTATTGGATGGGCTTGGCCAAGGTGTGCTCACGCCAGCAGTAGCTGTCCAGTTTCAGGGAGGTCTCCTGGAGCCATAAAGACCTCGAAGCTCCAGCCATGACGGCGCCACTGGCGCCCAGCAAAGGGCACCATGCAAGGCGCTGGTCGCATGATGAGCTTTTGGTTGCGACTCCAACACGCAACAACCACCATTTGATTTAAATTATTCTTATAGTCAAATTTTTAGTAAAAACAAACTCCAGCTGTTCAGGTCCATAGTGCTTCCAGGTTCCCAAGACTTAAAAGGACTTCGACGAAATGAGACGCCACGGTCGCCACTGAAATCGTCTCAAGCCAGTGAAATCCGCAAAGAAACATCCAAGGTCGAACTCCGCACGCTCGCCATCTGTGGATACAGATTCGAGTCTCAACACAACACGACACGACCGACCGCTGACACGGGAAAATCATGGAAAATCCATGCAGAACCAGAGGTTGAAGAACCCTATAGACTATCCTATAGGTACCCCAGGTTACGGTCCTATAAGGTCACTTAGCCTCTGTTGGAAGATCTCAGAAACCCTAAGAGGCTTCCTCTTGAGTCGACCAGTTTATCCCTTTGGTGCCGGCGCCGAAGAAGCGGCACCATGTAGCAAGGTTGATCGCTCAAAATGTAAAACCATAAGAAATCCAGAAGTTGACGAACCTGAATCAAATAACCAACGGCATGGGGATCAATCAAATCTCTAGCCGTATTTATATAATGCATTTATACCATGCTTAAACAAAACAAAAAAACTTAAAAAAAAGCTACGGGCCCAACTCGGCCGAAATGACCCAAAGTAAATACCTTGATTCCTCGTGATTCCTCTGTAACCAATATTAATATAACTGGTCAGTTGTCCTGATCTCCTCGTAATCCGGATGAACTGCCTCCAAACAGAAAAAGAGCTGAGACTGGATGATGCTTGCCCCCTCATGACTCTTGGGTCAATTCCCTACCGCCCAACCTGGGGGGAGCGTTTTCACGCACAGCACCGATGGATGAAGCAAAACACTACCAAAGCTCAACAAGCACCTGCCTTCGCGCGCCGCCTGACCACGGGCGCCTGCCCCGGGGGAAGGCGAGAAATTTTGCCCACAACAAAACAAATACATTTCAACATGTCTGTGAATTTGTGGTTGGTTGTAGAGACACAACGCTCGGCTGTAGGCCTGGTTTGGATTCACAGCTAGCTTTTGAGGGTGCATCGGGCGGATTCAAGTGTCCACTGACAAAACAAATCCACCATCCGCGCGCGCTGCACAGGAGTTCCCAAACGGGTGGTGTTTAGCCCCTTAGTGAGCATAGTGGGCACCCCTCCAATAGATTTGGAACTGCAGGCGCCTTACTCTTAACTCAGTTTCAAAAGTCTAAAACTTTTAGATGGTCTTCTTGCCAAACATCTTGTAGTTGACTCGAGCCTCCTGCCAAACCATCGATACCTTCGTCATACTCGTGTGGAATGCGAACTGCATTGACGTTCATCGCTCGCTGCCCGCGACAGCTCGATATCATGGAAGTGCGCATGGATTGGGTCAACCCTTCCTCTCCTATGACTCATTATGATGGCCGGTCCCCAGAAAGTCCCATCTAAATGACGTCTTGGGGGTTGTGCCATCTACTCGGCCACTGCGTATGACGTGGTTATGAGGGCCAAGAAGCTGCTCACACTGACCTAGTAGCGTTCTTGTTACTAATAGCAATGTTCTTGTTACTAGTAGCGATGCCAGGAGCTACTAGTAGCTTCCAGACAGTTCAGCGACCGGACCGTTGCACCAAACCGACCTACTCCGACGCAGCCGGTGCACCATTCCCCACATACCACGACCCACAACATCCAACACGGCGAGACCGAGAGGTGGATCGGGACCAGTCGCAACCTCTCAAAGGCTTTTACTGGGAAGCTGCGGAAGGCGGATCAAGCTGGAGGCGGATCCATGCCTTTCTCATAGGTACGCAGTCGTGGAATCCCCCCTTTCGGAGCGCTTGGCAGTCTTCCAGCTTCTTTTTTGGTTTTTCGCGCGGTCAGCAGAGAAGCAAAAGTCGAAGGCGTTCGGAATATGAATGTGTCACAGACCTTGGGTATCTCCAAGCAGCGCAAGCAGGGTTTCTGGCCTTCCTATTGCTTCCTATTGCTTCCTTACATGGCCCAACTTACACAATCACCATGCAGGATGGGAGGAGCATCATGTCTTGTGGCCAAAGGCCCTTTTGACGAATCGAGCAGGCTGCCTGGGGATCCCTTTTTGACGTGGACACACCGACAAGCCCGTCCCCCCCGAGGGGGTCGGGCGACTGTCTTCCCCCAGCTAGGTCAGACGAGCGAGGATAGGCCATGCACAATTCAACTCTTTGGATGAATCTGAGTCATGTAGTAGTGATTCATGATCTTGGCACACGCTCATTCTTCTTCTCCATGGAAAGGGTCATAATCTTGGTCCACATGATCCAGCGGAAGTCTAAGATATCTCGATTCTCGATCAACTGAAAGTTCGGCAGTTGATTTGAACGCTCCTGACCCTTTGAGGTCTTCGGCTCTTGAGGTCACTCAAAACTTCGGGCGCGCCGTGCTACGAGGGACCACGAGCTCGGTGCTACCGGGCCGTTGGCACCGGTCCGTCGTGCGTGGACGAAACCCCCGGAAGCCAACAGGAAAACGTCGGGTGAAATGCGAACGAGCCAAGTGGTGAGACGAAGCAGATCTGGACCTCTGGGATGACAAAGCTGAGATGATGGGTCTCATGCAACACCCATAATGCAATGTGTATCTACATATTGCATCTGATTGTTCATATATACGTTAAATAGTTATAACATCTAAGATGCACACGTCATCTAACGTAAATCCAGGCATCTTGCGATCGGAAATCCAGCCTCTCCGGACCGTGGACCCGCGGCCTATCCGCGAAGACCGACGGATCCGATTAGGAATAAGTCAATGAGGGCCTGCGATAACATGTGAGCGTGAAAATCACCAGCTACCTCCTGCTCACTGCATTCACAACATACGCGTGTTCACAAGTGACCTCAAAGGTCCAATGACCTGCAAAAAAGAGAGGCCTAAACAGCTTGGACCCGCTTGGAGCTGGGCACCCAAAGCGAGCCTTCACCCTGGCCGGATCGTATATCTCGGCGACACCGCGATGTCGCCACTGAAAGTCCCCCCAAAACAGGGGATGTGATCTCAATCTGGATGAGTGAGAAACTGTTCATGAAGACCGACCTGCGGCAAAGAGGATGTCATTATTCATTTCCTCTCATTCATCTTGAAACCGATCCATGCCAAGGCTTGACCTCTGCTATAGCCTTTGGAGTGCGCAGCACTAAATGCTTTGCACGTGAAGATCGGCGTCTGATTCGCCTGTGAAGATTGGCGTCTCAGACGCAGACGCGCAACGGAGCCGCGTCTGAGAGATCGCTTGCATGTCTCACACGTGAAAAAGAAGTTCCAGGGTTGGGCAGGTGGGGATTGGGTGTTATTCTGTGGATTGGTTTCAGGCTTGTGAAATGAATTGTTTAGATTGTTTAGTACAATCTGTTCTTCTTGATGTTTTCCCTTCTGCTCAGTTGATCCTTCTAGTCCAAATAAACCCATCCGTGTATCTAAAAGAGATGTCCTTCAGTGGAAGCATTTCAAGACGTCTGGACGCCAGGCAGTACACCTGAGTCCAACTGCACCCACTGCCAGACTCCAAGGAATTCGCTTTTAGTGTATCATGTGCATTCTTCCCAGTCCCAGACACTCCATGGGACTGCCATATCTGCTTACATTGGGGTGGTGCCAGGGAGGTCAATGGGGCGGCATGTATGGCAGTTTCATGGGTCGTCGTGTCTGGGAGTTGCATTCCAAGATGCCCAGGTCGGTTGATGTGGGGAGCCGCGTTTGATGAGCCCCGATCGCCCCGCCGCTGCCAGTTGGAACGACTGGGAGGTCTCCCGATTTTAACACACTCCAAAAAAACCCTAAAGTCTCCATAGCAGGGGTCCGGGCCCTCAAAACCTGGTACTCGACTTTATTCTTGACTTGTTCCGTCTCCCTGTGCATCTGAGTTGCGGGGTGACTGACACTCCGAAACATCATGAGTGCGATGATTGCGATCTGGAGGGCGAAGATTCTTGGAGAGTGCGAAGGTTGGGATCTTGATTTGGTCTGATTTGGTGTTAGCGATGCCAGGAGCCCCTAGTAGCGTCCTTGCTCCTAGTAGTAAGGCCAGGAGCCCCTAGTAGCGTCCTTGCTCCTAGTAGCGATGCCCTTTGTTAAGTAGCGATGCCCTTTGCTCCTAGTTGGGAGGTTTCTTGTTGTTCTTCCCCAGCTGCAAATTGCGTACAACTCTTCAGAAGTTTGCCGAAAGAAAGGGCGCCAACATGCGCCAACCTTCCCAGGAACCAAGCGTCAAGTTCAGCGTTGATGTGGTGTATACTATATACAGTCTTCATTCCGAGCCGACCTGAACCGAGCCGACCAAGACCTAAGATGTGTCACTTGAATGTCCTTCTCTGTCTGTGGGGCATGCCTCCACCCATGAAAAATCACTTGACATCGGGGGCCATGTCGGACAACTGTGGCCTTTAACTTGGACACCGTCTTCGCGGATTCCGTTGCGACAACTCCCACTCCAGCAGCTACACCTTCTGGCACGCAGCCGCTGGACGGGTTGAGCGCGTTTGGCTTCTCTGGGGGAAGTCGCACAGCGCAGGCGGCGCAGGCAGTTCTGGAAAACAGGCCAAAAAAAGGTGGGTACGACAGTTCACAACTTGCCTGCCGTTTGCCAGACTCCCCAGGATGTCTCCACATCGATTCGGCCGAAAGCTGGGTTGGAAAAGGATCCCACAAAGCCCGAGGCTCTCACAAATCCACAACCGCAACAAGTCTTTAAAGGGGCGCTATCGCCCTTGAAACCCAGGTTTAATACGTAGAATACGGAATACGCAATACATTGTTGATACACATGATGAACACGATGAACCTGGCACTTTGCAGGTATCCCTTGCTCTTTCAAGTGTTATGTCAGTTCGTGTTATGTATAGTGTCTATAAGTTCCGGTAGACATACATGCGTTGGTATCTGCTGGTAGCTTGTGTCAAAGGATAACCCCCTCCTAATGTCCAAGAGGCTCTTCATTCTCGGCAGACTGGCGGAAAAAGGAGACTGGGAACCAATCATGCTGCACCATGTGCTCTCTTCCTATATCTTCCTAGATTCCCATGAATGTCAAGAAGAACCCCACAAACAAACATTGAGGCCATTGAACAGGTCTTGCGCATGTCCTTAGACAGGTAGTATGACGCGTTCGTTGCATGCATTGGCAGCACCCCCAAAACATGCAATAGCGATGTGCACTATCAGGTGAAACATGCTTTATAGCACAACGGTGAAGAACAAGTTACTGCTGACATAGTATGTTCATGCTAATTGCATCCCAAAGCTGAATGAACCTATCGCATGTTTGGGGGGGGGAAAAGGAGCTACACTGCTTTGCACTCCTTGCCCTTTGCACTATCCCTTTCCACCCTTGTCGAGGCCGAGATTTTTGTCGAGTTCTTCACTTGTCGGGGACAAAGGTCTCCCTGAAGACCGTTTTCTCAATCCTGGCAGCGGTCATGTGATTATTTGGGTGTGTATTTTTAATAGGGGGACCTCCAACAAATGGATTTAGTCCATTCTTGATGTTCCCAAAGGTCTATGAGGGGTCTCCTATTCCAATACGCACCCATTTGTGATCTGTGGCCGAGTCAGTCGTCAATGTCCGACAGTTCAAGAGTCTCAACACTCCAAACATCTAGCTAGTATGCAACTGTAACTGTGACCCAGCAATACCCAGCACAAAGTGTTTACAGTGCAAGTTAATTGCCAAAGAACTATTCCAGATTTAATTGTCTTTCTACAAAATTTACGTTTGACTTTGCTCACACCTGGAGTCCTACAAAATCCTACAAATCCCCCACAATCCCCGACTAGGCAGAACATTTGTTGCCTTGCAACATGACCACTGACCGGACCACACCCTGAACATGGGTCACAGCATCACTCCACATCCTCCAGCTCCCGACGACGTCTCCGGCCGTCGGTGAAGAATCAAAGCGCCTATCGATCATGACGTCTAGTGAGTCTTTTTTCCTGCGACGCGTGCGGCGCTCGGCTCGGCTTTTTCTCCTGTAGATCTCTGTGACCGTATCTCCGGTGACCTGTGCCGCCAACATGTCGTCCACTTGCACCTCGTGGCTTTCAGACACGCGAACGACCACAAAGGCGGCGCCCCGGGGGAGAAGAGCGACCAGCTCGAGCGACCGGTCGTTTTGGAAGGGAGAAAGTATGGCCAAGTGGTTTATCACTTTTGGACTGTCCCATGTCATATCAAATTGTAACATGTACATGTACTTACCAGTCGAGCACCAAGAACTGTTTTAAAATGCCTGCCAGGTCTGACAAGTTCCACAAGCTCAACTTGATCAAGTAGCTGTTCGAAGAAAACGGAAGAACTGGTCCTCCATTTTGTGCCAATAACGAATCAATGCATATATATATATATATGTATACCTGGATCTTCCAACTGTGCGGAATGTCCGCCTTTTCATTACTTAAATCAACCAAAAGGCGTAAATGTTGCACAGTTGGAAGATCTAGGTATATATGCGTGCAATTTGCCTGGATTTGTGCCACCTCAAGTCAGAGATTGTTCGCAAAAAAATGCCGGGCTGCGCCGGGCTGGGCCACTTCGCCACGTCCTGGTCTGGGCCCCCGAGCCACGCAAGGAGTGCCCCACTTCGCCATGAAGCGCTTGAAGGGACAATGCCTGGCCGAGCACCCGCGTCGACCAGGCGACCCGGCGACCAAGAATGAGATTCAAATGAAACCCGGGGTGCCACATGTTAGGTGATGGTGGAGTTCCATCATGGCCTACATTGAGCAGTTTAATCAGAATCTGATGTAGACAATACATTCAAATCCATATCCATGCAGGAAACCAACCGCACCGCAAGACACGAAGTTTCTCCACTACTTCAAAACATCCATGTTGCCCAGTCAGCAACTGGCTCGAGATTGGGATGTGACAGGCAGTGGAAAAACAAAAACAAAGCCCCAGGCCAGGCTCAAGGCAAAGCAGAACCACAAACAGTCCTAACACCAGCGGAACAAAAGCGACCAAAAACAAAACCGACCAGGGGTCACAAAGGGGTGGTGTTTGGTCCCTAAGTGAGTGGATAATGGGCACCCCTAGCCTCCAATAGGCACCCCATTGTGACTCCTGGGATTCAACACTTCAACAATTCAAATTCCAAAACAGGCTCAACAGCAAAACTCCAACCAAAAACTCGTCAAACAAACGCAAGAACAACTCACCGAGTCTAATTTGAGTTGCGCTTGGAATTGGAGTGCCTTTCTTGTCAGTCTTTGTCACGTAGGTTGCTGAGTCTTTACTTTCTTCCAAGATCTTTTCACCGTGATCCCTGGCTGTATGGACTTTTGTTATCATAAGGCCAGGCCACCCCTTCCACAATTTATGGACGCATGATCATCATGACTCCCTTGAAACGGTTGGAAGAGCCCCTGCCACCACCAATCACCGACTTGAACCAGGCACGGTGAAACACAGTGGCGTGCTGGCTTTCCAACCTCAAGAGGCCATCGGCCATCGCTCTTAGGTTGGAGGCCATTCCATGCCATTCCTATTTCAAAACAGAACCCTCTTGGCGTTGACGGAGCGGTGTCGCTTCCAAACCGCCGCCGCCTGCGCAGGAGTTCGTCGGTAGCTTTCAACGCCTTGATGCGTGTACGCGACCTGGAGAGTGGGTCGATTCGACGTTTCAGTTATGTATTTGGCACGTGTATATTGTATTACATGCATGTATATACGCATAGAATCATATCGACTGATCCAAAGTTCTACTTATGCTAGAAACTCCCAGCATGTGCCTTGAATCTCCCCATGTGCAAAGTGCAGTCAAAGTCAGAGTCCTCCCATCTCGTCCCTATCCTGGTTTCAAGATGTTTCAATTGCATCCAACGAAATGAACAGGAACAAGCCAACGTGGTTTGCGGTCTGCCTTTTTTTCACCAGTGAAGACCTCAGACCTGACCCCTTCCTGACCCCTGCCCAGGCCTATAGCAACGGAAGCCATCAGAAGTGAGTTGTGAAGCATCAGGCCGACCAGGAGGGATCTCCATCGGATTGGATAAGTCCTCAGACCGCAGCAGCGAGCGTCAAAGGCAACGGGCATCGGAAAAGCGTCGGACCGATGATTTCAAGTGTCAGCGATGTCCCATGATTTGTTGAACACATTTAAATACAAACAGTTGGTTGACTCAGTAACCTTGACTCATGTCTTTGTCATGTGGGGCTCATTTTCATGGTGTGCATGGGAGGTGCATGAGCCTACCCGTTCTTTGAGATATTCACCTTTTGCAGGAAAGCCTGATGCACCTAAGTTCCTTTTGTCCTTTTTAGATTTTACTAGAATTGCTCCTCCAAATGCAGGTCCGTCGTTTCCGGAGGCGATTTTGAAACGCCCACATAGTATAGTTCCTATGGCCTACAGGGTGTTGCCAACTCATAGGTGCGGCAGCTTTTGTCATTTCATGGACCCTTCCCGCTCAATCCAAGTGTTCTTCCTAGTCCTATACCACCCGCATGAGGATTTCTGCTGGGTCCCCGTCTTGCGGTCCACTCAAGTTGTGGCTCACTCGGCCGGCATGGAGAGCAACAAACAACAATATATATATATATATACGACATGTCGTGATGTCAAGCATGATGTATCACAGCAAAAGCTGCATGAGGTTAGCACGTTGACTCCATACGAGTGGTTTCAGGGGTCAATGCATGCATAGATTCCAGTCCCATGAATTGTCTGGGTATTGACGCACCTTCAAACACAAACAATACTCAACTATTGCACGGTTAGGACGACATGAACTATCTCTGCAGCACGAACTGAAACTATTGGATGATGGTGACCTTCTCACTTTGCCACTGATAAATGAAAACACCTCAAACACGGATGCTGGAGGGATCTAAACTTGGACTAGCGGCTCTTCTTTTTGCATTCGTCCATATGGATTAATATGGGCCAACTAATGGACTTATAGGCATATAAATTCCTCAACAAAAAGCAACCAAAAAGGAGGCCAACCACACATATATATATATATATATAACCTTCTTTCATACCGTCCCCGGCTCGATCACTCTGCTCCGGTGCTTTCAAAGGCTCATAAGCCTCAGAGGTCCTTGCATGTGATAAAATGTAGTTCTCCTTCCACTTGGTGTTCGCTTGCCTTAAAGCCGAGGGTCGCACAATCTGTTGCTCTCTCCTATGTATGCTAGTGACGCATGACATTGCAACATAATCAAGTGAGTGCTGAAGGCAGGAAAAAGGGGCCCCACTAGACGGAAGCTGAAGGCATGCCTCCTGTTATCTCCCCTTCCAACTCTCAGAAGTTTCATCTTTGCTTTCTCGGGAGTCTTCGTCCAGAGTGACCGGGAGACCGTCCACAGCATCCGTCAAACTCTTGAAGCATTCCAAAAACCAATTGGATGTGGTGCCATGTGGAATACATAGACTTCTTTAATTTTGAAGCGTGTTGCCCTAAAGGAACACCATGATGGAGCCGTCCTAATGGATCAACCTACACTGCAACACAAAAGTCCCGCATACCAGAGCATACCCTGCACTGCAAGAAGTTGGCTACAAGCATGGAAAGCAAATGAAAGCTCTGCAACCAAACATGTGCCTTCCAGAAGTCACAAAGGGGTGCCTATCTATTGGAGACTAGGGGTGCCCATTATCCACTCACTGGATGGGACCAAACACCAACCCTTTGTGGCCCCTAAGGTTGGAATTGATCTATGCCCTCGTGCCAGTTGTGCCAGGGCGGTCGCCGCGACCTGCGTCCGCCCAAGGCACACCACGAAGTCGCCCTCCTGAGCGGTGTTCCGCGTCTCTTCCTTTCCATTCACCATGGTGGTGATCACTTCTCCTGGCACCACATGGGCTGCTCAACTCGTTGGGCGTTTTTTTCTTTGGTTGGGGGTGCTGGCCGGTGTACAGGGCCGGTGCAGGGCTCTTTTTGTAAGGGATTTAGTTGAAGTGATTCAGACTACAGGACGTGTTTCTTCAGATATTAATAACCAAAGGCTGAATGCTGGTGAATTTCTTGTATACAACACACCTTTCGCAACTCTCCTCACATGCACTCCCAAACCTGGAAAAAACCAACATGCTTATACCTAAGTCTAATACATCTATATACCCTATAGTAGCTTCTTGTTCCCAGTAGTAAGGCCAGGAGCCCCTAATTCGTAGCGTCCGAGCGCTCCCTCAGCCGTTTCCCCCCCCCCTTCGCCACACGCGTGATCCCGCCAGCCGTTCGGTGCGGCTCACCTGGCTTCGCAGGACGAAGAAAGGCAAAGGCCACTTTGCGATACCATTGCCTCGGAGACACAACGGTCAGCGGGAGACGCGTCCACCGGTGACTGCGGGAGACGAGGTGACTGACCCTTCAAGCTACACACCCGCGATTTCACCATTGGGCAGCAAAATGGAAGAAGTGGGGGAAAGGACAACTTGAAATGCTTATCGCCGACTTCAAGCGGTCCAAGCGCGGCACAAGTGGCAGCGCTGTGGTCACTGAGCGAGCTCGTGAGACGCAGTCGGCTAGAAAGGCCGGGCAACATCGCATGCCCGCCGGATAGGTCGCGAACTCGTCCAGTCGCGAACCAAAGATGCTACTCGATCAAGTGTTTCAAGGGAAATCGAAAGACAAAAGCCACCAACCGGATTGAAAATACCCAAAGAAGAGCGATCCATCCCTTCAAACAAAAGATCTTCAAAACCAAAATGGCGGCAAAAGACCTGCAAAGATTTCCTGACCAGGCGTAGGGCACTGGTCATCAAAGGTCGTGTAAAATGACGATCTACCGGGAGGAGTTCAAACCTATTGCTCGAGCTCATAAACATGGGGAGAGGAAGGCCCAGCTCCCGAACAAGAAGGAAAACCATCTCAAACCAGCTGATGGCGTATAAGCCAGAATCACCAACACCACAAACAAACAATCTGTTTATGATCTCGCGAATGAACTCAGTACCACCAGGGTGGTTGTGTACAAAAAAGGTGGTATCCCAGTTGATTGGCAATCGCTCTGTACAGGAAACTAAAAAAGGTCGTCTCTCACGGGTAGTGGTCAGGTCAAGGTGTCCCTGAAAGGCAGGCGCAGCAGCAGCCGCAGCGGCTTCCTGGTCCTGCACGAAGACAGCCTTGTAAAACCTGAAGAGAACAGCTGTGCGCTTCAGCTTGTTTTCATGATAGCCAATTGCTTTCATCCGAAGCTCCGCCAGCGAATGCGGCAGTGTTCGATTGGTGAATCCTGCCTGGACATCGACTGCAGAGTTCCATCTCTTAACCCAGTCGTGAAAGCCGTCTTCACAGCTTAAGTCCGTAAGGTGGGAGGGCCACCAATGAAAAATCGGCATGCAATCATGTAAATCATGCAGCAAATCACGGATGCGAAGCCAAACATCTTGGTTGCTCCAATGAGTTGGTACTGACATGGAGGCCAAAAGGTGGTGTACTCCATCAACTGTGTGTTTGGAGTCCACCCACAAAAAAGTCTGAACTCGAACCCGACTAAGCCAGTGGAGCGCTGAAAGAACCGCCGTTGCCTCCGCCCGCGGGATCGTCTGAGAGAGCCCACGGAGCCAGCCTGAGCTTAAGACCTTGCCAGCGGTAGCACTGGTAACGCTCCAGGAACACATGTTGAAGGCACTGACGGGCCCTTTGTGACATGAGCCATCTGTGAACAAATGATGCGGTGACAAGGCTTCCACACATTCAAACGAGCTGATGTCATCTGGCAAGTCCGCCAAGGCCAGCCACCATTCAGAAAGCCACGGATTCCGTGGACACAGGAGGTGTTGCTGGAAAGCGCGAGGCCAGGCATGGATGTCCTGTGGCCAATCCGGAATTGATTCCCGAAGTTGAGCTTTGAGTGGGCAGTCCAACCAATGTGTGACCGAATCAGGAACTCCACAATGAGGACAACCCGACTTGGAGACATCAAATTTGGCCTTCATGTCGTTGGCGATGAACGCCCCTGAATGCAAGGCATGTAGCAGTCCGCGGTCACCTGACTCCAGGGTCTTGCCCTGCTCATACATCAGGAAGGGGTCCAAATCATGGAGATCTGTCATAGATTTCCGATGCTGCAAGGACGGAGCTAAATGTTGCAACCAAGCGTCCAGAAGAAGCATGGAAAGTTGTGACCAGTCAACCAAAAGGACGTCAAAGGTGAGTCCGAAAGTTGTGGTGACATATGGAGGAGCCAGACTCCAACCCAAGGATTCACAAAGTACATGAAGCTTTGAAAAGGGCCCCGGGCAAAGCTTGCCTGCAAAAGTGAATTCAAAGTGTTGCCAAGCTGGCTTTATGTTGGAGTCTTTTGACACAAGACGTCGAAATGTTTGGAAGGTCCGTATCACCTGATAGAATCCAGGGTCAGCAAGAGGCTGGTGCGACAGGGTGAGCCGCAGGGCCGTGTTCACGCCAGCAGTCTTCTGCTTCAAGCATTTGCAGGCCATAGTACGGAGATGTCCAAGGTGACTGTCCGCAAAGAGACATGCTTCAGCTCCATACAGTGCTTGAGGCCAGAGAGACAAAGGAAGAATGGAGATCTTCTGAGCAACTGGTGCACGGGATGCTGTAAGTCTTCCCCATTTAGCTTCCAATGATTCAAACCGAAGACGCAAGTGGTGATTCCGCAGCATATTGCAAAAAGTCATACTGCCACCCAAGTCCCTTGCTGCAAAATTACAGGCCAGTCCAAGAGTGCGTAGAGTATGCCGATCCGCTGTGTGGAGAGCCCATGTGAAGGTTTTGTTGGGATCAGCTTCCATCAACCACATAGCGAGGAAGGCCTCGTTGGCAAAGTGTGCTCCCACGACATCTTCAACTGTTGAGCCCATCAAAGAAAGATTGTCAACGAAGCTGAAGGAGTGGACATTTGGACGGAAGAACCTCATGTATATGTGCCAAGCATAGTTCAGCTGGACCATGCCGTAAACTGACATGGCATCTCCTTCCGGTAGTCCAACCAAGGTAGTTGTGGCTTCGCTCAACTGGTCACGTACCAAAAAAGCACGTGTGCAGCGAGAGAGGAAATCCTTCCAAAGTCCTGTGACCTGCTGTGGAGCTCCCAGATGGTCAGCCAGAAAGAAGGTATGTTGGCGAGGGATCCGGTTGAAGGCTTTGATGAGGTCAGTGCTGAGCCCAACAAGAGGACGTTGGTCATGGAGAGCAAGCTCTATATGACTCTGCAAGGTCCACCAAAGCTGCGTAGCCTCTTTGGTGGGCATGAAGCCAAACATGGAGTCTGGGGCATGGGCGGTCAAGAGCTTCAGGAGTTGACGAGATCGGATGGAACCCCATGTGCGGTAGACCTGGCTGAAGATCACAATAGGTCTGAATCCATTAGGGTCATGTGCACCTGCTTCCTTGGCCAGACAAAGCACAATGCCATGTAGCATCTGTTCCGGCCAGCCAAGTTGTTGGTCTTCAAGACGGTTGAGCCACTGCACCAGTGTACCATGCCAATGATCCGGAAGGTGAAGGAGGTCGACATGACCAAGGCCATCAACTCCTTTAGCTGCATGGGGCTTAAAACGTCGAAGCCCTGCTTTCCATTGAGCAACTGTGATGGGTGGTAGTGTCAGTCGCAGCTTCGGAACGAAGGCCTGAATGAATCTGGTAACACGCTCCCAACTGTCTGCAGGAACATCTGAAAATGCACACCATCGGGCTTTCCAAAATTGAAGAAGAGATTCATGGATCTGATCTGCCTTGTGGAGAAAACGGCGTTGGATCAGCTGAGCCCCGATTTGACGTGCTTCAGGAGGGGCTATTTCACACACATTCTGGTCAATGCCAGAGACATGAAGCTCTTGTCCATCTAGGGACCAAGTGGAGGTTCCCAAAGCAATGTCCTTATCCAGCATAACCTGTGATGACAATGGATCAATGTCAAGTATTTCATATTCCAGATCATCCCAGAACAGAGTGATGCGTTCAGGAGGGGCTGGCTTGAGATCTTGATGGAGTGCGAGAAGTGTGCGGTCATAGCGGAGGGCAAAAAGTCGCCGCTTCTGCGAGAGATGCCAATGCTCAAAAGAGCGGAAGGCCTCCAAAAAGACGTGGTACATGTTGTCAGCAATGGCAAAATTAGGTGGTGCTTGTGGCACTCTTGAGGGTGCAGCTCCTGTGTGCCTGAAACTATAGGTCTCCCACCAGCGACTAAATCCATGTCGAAAGCCCCGAGCTTTACGAATGGACATCCAGAGCTCCAGCCGAGCTGTCAGGGCGGTCGGATCCTGCCGATTGGCTTTAGCTGCATGCGCGTAGCTCTGCAACCTCCGGAGCTGCTTAAACCAGTTCTGCACTGCACTGCCCACCTGATCTGATCGGAGTTGAACTTCAGAACGTCTACTTGGAGCACATGTTCTGGCTATTGGAGGTCGAAGATGCGGAGTCACTTGTTGACACCGGCCACGTTGATTGGATTGAAGTCTTCGGTCCGGTTGTCCGATGATATGGCCATCGAGACTAGCTTCAAGAGCTGCACCAAAAGCTGCATAGTCGGCAGTAGGATTGTCTGAGGCAAAGAGATGCTCACTGGGTACTGAAGTCCAGGTGTCATCAACTGAGTCCCAAGGAATAGCTGAAGGGCGATGCCAAAAACGACATGAAGCCAACAAAGCAGGGACCTCTATGTCAACATGAAGTGAGGCGTGGTCAGGAAAAACATCTCGAAGACCAATGTCCCTCGCAAGCTCGATGAATTCCGGACTCATCCATATGTGGTCGCTGACTGCTGAGTGCTTAGAGGTTGGTTGAATGGTCCAACCCCAATGATCATGAGCAAACTGCTGCAAGTTTTGCCATCCCAGCCGTTGCCAGATGTCAAAAACTTCTTGATCCATGCAGTCCGAGTTCATGTCACCCAGAATGACCCTTGGGCCGGAGCAGCCAAAAACAATTTCACCACTGAGCACATGAAGAAGTTGATTGTTCAGCTGCTTGGAGTTTGGCCATGTCGGCCCTCGTGGGTAGCAGTAGACATTGCCAACTGTCACCACCAGTCCTGGGAGCACATGACGGGTAGCTTGTAATCGGCCGCAATTGTACTCCTCACTGGGGCAAGAAAGCTGAAGTCGTTGAGCTGGAGGATCACTGAGGACGGAGACACCACACCAGGCCCCCGCCCAAGAGGAAGAGGGACGAACTGGCGCTGCGGCTCCATGGAGGACAGTCGGAGCACGGCCCGCTGCACGGGCTAGCCTTCGGAAGTTCTTGGTGCAAATCAGCTGAGTGAAAGTGGACAACTGAGTTTCACTGAATGCCCAAATACCTGGACCAAGTCACAAGGCATGAACCTCCTTGCGAAGTAGTCCAGCCGGATTCGAAGTTCCTATGCGTAGCACTTCAATGTCTTCAGGACCTGGATGGCTGGCCTCCCCAATGCGTGAGCCATGAGGTCCAGTGAAAACGTGAAGGACAACTGAAGCATCCTGTGCTGTCCAGGAATCTTGCCAACCACCGAAGGCCTGTCCATGGGGTCCGGCAAGAAAAGGCTGAGAAAAGGAACTATGGGGCCACTCCCTTGGCAGGAACAAAGAGCTAGTTGCAAGACCGACTGGGCCCATCTCTCCCGACTGAAGATCACAGTAGCTCTCGTGAGAGAGCCCCGTGCTGACGTAGGAGTGCTCAGCAAGGAGAGGAAGACCCAGCGCCAGTGGCCTGCAACCAAGCCCCCAAATGACAATGAAAGACAAGAGCGATCGCAGCTCCAAAATGCGCCAAATACCAGTGAAAGGTAGCGCGAAAGCGAACAGCCAAAGGTGACGGCTAAAGTCATAGGTCCCACTAAGCATCCCGCGCAGGGACCCAGCTAAGGTATGCCACCATGAAGGGCGAAGGATTGCGTCATCAAATACCTGAGTCCTCGAACTGAAAGTGAAGATCATGAACAGCTCAACCACAAAGCTGCAGATCAACGAAACAAACCCCTGAGAGGTCCAGGTGAAATTGGTGACCAGGCTTGATGCCTGTTGAAAAGACCATCTCATGGACTGGCCAGCTCCTGGCACTGCCTCCGAGATGGAAGGGGGCAGCCCAGGGGGCCGTAGTCAATCCTCAGTGCGCTGCTTCTTTGACAAAAGAGCTTCAAAGCGCTGCATTGCCGAGTCAATCTTGTCATCAAGATGTGAGCCCAAATCATTTCGAAGAGAAGCAAGCTGAGTCCCAACCTGAATGCCAGTCTGTTGAACATCTTGTCTAAGGACCCCCAGCTCCTTTTGTTGGCTGTCAATTGCACTCTTGAGAGCATTGGAAGCCTGCTCCTGTTGGGTCATTCGCTGATTGGCCTGAGTGAACCATTTTTGGAACTGATCACCTTGTGCACGGACTTCTTGAAGACCAGCCTCGAGCTTGGAGAATCGCTGGTCTACAATCGGTGAAGAGGTAGAACCAGATGCGGCTGGCATGTTCTGGATTTCCTTGAGGACCTCCGTGCGGACTGAATCTTGCAGTTTCTGGGCCACTTCATCAATGTGCTTTGTGTCCGGCTTAGTTGCTGGAAGAGCAATTTTAGCATGATATGCACTCCAAGGATCTGTGGCTAGCCAGGGGTCAGTGTCTGGCTTGACGGCCCCAGTGGCATGCGCTTGAATGTGCCGCTGGGTACGTCGAGAGGCTGCAAGCAAACAAGTGGGCGCCGGGCCAGAGTTGTGCTCCTTGACAAGCGTGATGAGGATGTCCCGTCCAAAGGCATGAACTGAAGGTGTTGGCGGTGCCGATGAGGCCCCAACATTCCAGCTAGCACCTTCCGAGCTACCCCTTGAGGGCTGTAGTGGCCGTGCACACCATTTGATCTCTTTCAGGAATTTGGCAAGAGTTGCTCGTTGTAGTCCATGTGGCAAAGGGTGCAGCCGATAGATCTGAGTGATCCGCACCTGAACAAACTCAGCATTGGGTCGCAGGGCTTCATGAACAGTCTGCTCATGCTTGGCTTGAACACGCAGTCCATAGCGAGATTTGAGTCTCACCAGTGCCATGGCTTCCGGTGTGGTTCTCAGTAAATGAAGAGCGCGATCAGCATCTCCTTGCGGAATCCAGACAACTGCATAACCAGGATGTGCTGAGCGTGTGGCCTCATCCCTTGGTTCAAAGTAGATGCCAGTCTGATTGACCCGAAGCACGGCTGTTGCCGCATCTGCAAGGATACGAAGGAAGGCCGTGAACAAATCTGCTTGAGCTGCCTCACAAGTGGAGCCTGCCAGAAGGGTGAACCTGCGTGACCACACTTCTTGTAGTACTTGATCAGGTGTTTCATCGACAGGTGGGTGATAAAATCCACAGCGAGCGCCATCAGGACAAGGAGAAGCTCGACACAGCCGCAAAGCCGGCACCATGGTCAATAGATGCTTGACTGGTGAGTTGACAAAATCAGACCAATCCAATGCCAATTCATCGCGAAAGATGGCCAACTTGATGACCATCGTGGGGGCCAAAGATGAAGATGCCATAGGGTCTGGAGGCCCTGCCCGAACAACCGAGACGTCACCCAACTGTAGTAGAGCTCCACGGATGAGCACAGGGTCATCTGTTGCCGTGTAAGTGGCGGGGAATCGAAGTTCACCAACCTTGGCCACCCCTCGTTCTGCTGTTGGAACTTCCTCAACTATGAGCAAAGCAAGAGCCAGCGCTGAAATGGATTTGGCTTGTTGGATGAATGGCATGGCTTCAGCTTTGGTACATAGCGCAATCCCTCTGGCATCATTGTAGACATCAGCGAAGGCAATCTGAGGGAGTGAATTACCATCAGCATCACGGAAGTGATTTAGATGAAGCTGCAATTGGCTAGGATCAGGAACTGCAGGAATCTCAATGGCATGCTTTTCCTTCTTGCGTTCTCGTGGGAGGTTGGCACCATGCTTTTCCTTTGCTCTCTTTTCGATGTGGGCCTGAAGCTCCCAAGCAAGGACAAACTTGAACTGCTTTTTGCCTTGCATGGCGACCCCTTTCAGAGCCTGCCATGGATTCTTGGCCGTCATGGCTGCTGCGAGCTTGTCAGAGCCCAATGCTGTGATGGCGTCTCCTGCACGTTCAAAAGCACTGTTGGCGGGGACACCTTTGCTAATAAGGATCTGAGCCAATTCACCTTGGAGACCAGAAGCTTCAGGTCCACCCGGGGAATGTGCACTAAAGGGAAAATGTCCAAGAAGCCATTCATGCAGCTGCTGGATCTGGGCATCATCGAATGTGCCTGTCAGGCCCAAGATGGAGGCGGCATGAGCCAAAAGAATTGTGCCACATGAATGGTTATCATCCTGATGGATCAACCGACGATGTTTGAGGCCTGAATACTCCGTCTGCAGGAGAGAAGCCAATTTCTGAGCAAGATGGGTCATAGCCGCCGTCATGTAGCCCGCAATGCCATCCAGATAGAACCATTCCCATCCGGAGGGACTGTCTCTGCCATAGAGCAAGGCCCAATGGTGCCGATGAGCAAGCGGTGCCAGAACCTCTCCAACGTTGTCCTCAACTTGCTGAGGAAGGCCTGTCACTTGGAAATCTGAGTCCATCCAAAGGGCTTTGAGGCACCATGGTTGTGGTGAACTGCCATAACATTGCTGAATCCAGTCATGCAGGACCTGATCAATGATGTGCGAGCCCAAGCCGCAAGTTGCTCCTCCCGGACCTGAGTGACCAGGAACGTCATGAGAACTCTGCATGCCTGCCGGATCCATCAAGATTGACGGAAAGCTATTCTCCTCAAGGATAGTAAAGCGCCCTGAGGTCCAAAGGCGGGTGTCTCCACCAAAGAGTCGACCATCGTCATCAACCACGAATCTCTCATAGTTGAAGCCATGCTCTCTCATGCATTCAAACAGGAAAGTACCGGCTGGTACGCAGGAGATGAAGAACTGAGCATCTGTTGAGCTTCCACATTGAAGACCAATCATCAACAATCCCTGAGGTGACGCTGTGCGCCGTCTCTTTGGCTGTCTCTCCAATTGAAGGTCAGCTTGAGAAGCAAGGTGATGCAAATCGTCTTGCGAAGAGAGGAGAAAATCACCAGCTCGTACAATTTGAGTATACCCCCAGTCTAATGTGATCCGCTCTGCCTGCAAAAAATTACCAATGGTCGTGGCCGTGGCCGCAAAGATGGAAAGCGTGGAGCCATCTTCAGCCTTGATGTCCAGACGCGTTGGCGGGCAAGACATAGGGGAGGGAATCAAGAGCCGGTAGGAATCCTTGACTAAGTTGCCATACTTTTCAATGACCTCAAGTGGGTGGATGAAGGCCAATTTATCTATATGCTGTCCTGCACCTGCAAGGAGCGAGGCAAAGGTCCAAAGCACTTGCAAAGGTGCTGCAGCATTGCCCAACAAACATAGTGCGGCCCGTCCTGTGGCATGAATTTGAAACTGTGGTGGCATGCTCATAAGGGCCCCCAGCTCAGTCGGATGAAGTAGCCGCGGAACATTGGTGTCAGCATCCACCACAAAGAAGGCACGAAGTCCCTTCTGCTGGAGCGTAGTCAGATTAAACGCAGCCGAGCGGCATCCACAAGGACAAGGGTCAAATTGGCTGCCATAGGCGTGAAGCACTACCGGGCATTGATCGTGCCCTTCCAGCAGTCGCTTGTCCGTGCCGTAGCTCTTGTCCATGTAGTATCGGAGTTCGTCAACCCGCAACTGAAGATTACTGATCACCATTTCATCCCAACTCCCCAAAAAAGGAAGAACCTCCGAGACCTTGGGGGGAGGCATAATTTCAGGCCAAGGGCACAATGGGAAGCCACTCCATTCAACTGGTCGAAGGAGACAGTACCATCGCGATCGCTTCATTGGCCATTGATGGTGAAGGTGCAGGATGGTTTGATCGATCTGCCAACCCATCTTCGAGGCCAAATGAGAGAGCTCCTGCTGGAGAAGGTCATCTTCCTGAACGGCCGGAACGCATTCCAGTAGAACAGCCTGTGGCTGTAAGAGGAATAAGCAATCCATCAATTTGTGAAAGGTCTGTGCCCTGCAATCCTGAAAGTGCAAACGATGTCCCTGAAGGCTGAAGGGCTGGCAGGGAAATCCTGCTAGTGCAGTAAAGCTCTGATTGGTACGTCGAAGCTCCAAATGCAGCTTTTCTACACTATCTAAATCCCCAAGATCTGCTTCGAAAACCGGTTTTGCTGAACACTGTCGAAGATGTTGCGAGGCCAACCAATTCGAATCCAAGGAGCTAACTGTGGTGGTGCCCATGAAACCGGTAGCAAACCCCATAGCTCCAGTTCCGGCACAAAGCTCCAAGACATTTCGAGAGAAAGCCTCCGTGGTATGAACAGCTTCAAAGATGTCCGAAGAGTCAACCGCCAGTGTCAGCGGATCCATTGAGATCAATCGTGGATGGTACATGGTGAACCTAAGTGGAAGCGCAGCATCGCTGAGGAGTACCGCGCGTACCTCAGAAGCAAGGCACTTGACCAGCACGGCTCCAGGATCCAGAGACCTGAGGAGCTCAAAAACACCTGGCGCGGCCGGCGTGGCCAGGCGGTCCACCTGCATGGCTCAACTACCTAAAGGACGGTCTCCCGAATTTCAGCCGCCTCAGCCGCACGACTGGAACGATTCGGGCCAACGGCTACAACTTGAAATGCTTAAAAACTCACTTCGGCAGCATTCCGTGTGTATGCGTAGCTGACAAGCACTTTGATGGTCCAAAAGTATATTATACATATATATCTCTCTCTCTCTCCCCTCTCCCTGTCACGCCATCCTAAGGAAGGGTTCTTGAGTCCCATAGTGTGGATCCAAAACAGTTTGTACTAAGTTACTATCGTACAGTCACACAGCCCGTGATCACACCACAATAGTCATATATATATATATATTGTATGAAATGTAGAGTATTGTAAGAATAGTACTCCAATGGTGTGGTGTGGACCCAAATTTGCCATACCAATGCCATACTATGCCATGGTGATGTTTTCTCTTAGAGTCGCTGGACCCTGCCTTACTGCCAGCCTTAACTTATGTTGGCATTTTGGGGTGCACAAGTTCAACTAGCGCTGCCCATCCTCGCTTCGAGGATAAGCGGCCCATTGGTCAGCATTTCTTTGCTGATTCGTCGGATCATCTCCTGCAAACAGCTCAGCGGTCGGAACAAAAACGTCACATCATGCCACTGTCTGTGGCAGCGGCCCATGCGCTCTAATGAATACGATGAATGGGAGCGGCATCCCATGGTATCTCCACTCTTTCAAGAAGATTGGCTTCATTCTGACAGCAAACGCCGAGAACTTAACCCGCGCACGGGATGGTTGGGCCTCTTGCGAACAAAGCTCCGGTGCCCCTGGGAGGAAGGTCGGTGGCTCGGTGTCGAACAGGAAAATGGTGTTGTCCTGGGCAGCCGGGCGCGGTGAGACATGCGCAGTGAGATGGGCGGGTAGACCACGGTACGGTAGGGTCAAACCACTAGGCTCAGGGATAGATGGTGGTTTTGAGAGGTTCGATGGCACCCCGTTCGGTCCATTGAAGCGAACTGCAAGGTGAGGCTGCAACCAGGTGCAACGGAGAACATCTTCCGAAACAACTGCTGTCGTGTGTGAAAAGTGTCCATCCTCAAGGTGCACAGCTCAAGAAAAGCAACAAAAACACTTTCAACCACTAAATGGCACCCTACCCTCTCAAGCCAATCAATCATCTCTCGAGCCAATCTCCCTCCGTGCCTCACGGTTCTTCTTTGCGTCTTCTGGCCTTCGTTCCAGGCAGGCCTGCTTGCTGCTGCACATCCTGGCGTGGGATTCAGTGAGGCCTCAAACCTCTACATCCAAGGACGAGGTTTCTTATCGGTTTTCCACTCCCAAGAACCAAGATTCTCCACGGATATCCACGTGAGACGACATAGAGACAGCGTGTTGGAGAAAAGAATGGACACTTATAAGAAACATCTTGTTGTAGAGGGAGGTCGTTTTCTTTTCTGCCCATGTTCCAGTTCCATGTTGCTGAGTCGCGGAGTCTCAACATGGAGCCGCTTCAAGTGGTTTGAGGGGTCCGTCGAGTTGGTGAAACAATGCTGTACATCAGGCACCTTGAAGCTTGAGTATCCACGGGGCACCCTTCCGATGGGCAACATGCGTCAAGGTCCTGCAAAATGAATCAAAATGATAACAAAGCTGAAGAGGTCTAAGGGCCAAGGCATCAGCAAACCTGGTTGGCCATAGTTCAATTACATGGCTTCCACATATCCGGAACACTTCGACATGGTCAATTGATGTCAGTTGCATAGTAGACATCTCTAAAAGAAAACTTATCTAATGTACATTAATATGTATATTATATATTATATATATATTTGCACAAGGAACCACACGGTTTCCAACAAAGCCCCTGCTTTCCCACAAAGCCCGATTTCCGCCCGGACCGCTGCATCAAGACCGTGGTAGGCTGCAGCAAAGAATTGTTGACCAACCATCGCTGCTTCGAGCGTTCTGGGCAACAGGAGATAGGGTCCATAGGGTCCTTCCCTACCTCCTGAGGATGGTCTTGGAGGTGACAGTACTTCCCTGGGTCCAAATGGCGCCTGGACTGGACATCCTCCAGTCCTGGACCCGAGGATAGGCATGTAGACAGGCATAGAGAGGCATACCCACTCGCGTGTGTTGGTGGAACAGCCCTGTTGGTCGAGGAGTATGGTCTTCGGGTTCATGTTCCACTTCGATTGTAACTGACTCAAAAAAGAATGTATCAGGGAGTTCCATGCCATCTTTTCTCATCACATCTCATCTCCCGACCCCGACTCCCAGCCCCACCTCACAAGCAAGAGTTCCGGATCAGAACTGCTCCATTGCCCCTGCCCGGTGCCGTCCAGTCGTCCAGTCGCCCCGTTTCGGTCCGCGGGGGTGTTCCAGGCCACCACGGAGCGGAGCTGAGGCAAGCTCTTTAGTCAAAATGGCTGAAAGGCGCTGAACATGATTTAGAAGACTGAGCACGTGTACTCATAGCAAAAACACATATGATTCATATGATCAAATATGTATCAATCATTGAAAGACTCGGCTGTTTCGCCCCCCTTGGTTCACAGCTCGCTCCCATTCTTGCTTGATGACGACTGTCATGCTGAATGTCAACACAGGCAAAACCCTATAGCAAAAGCAAGGGTACTTCAAACAGGCCCATGCTAGGACAAATAATTTCAGCAGGAAAACTAACAATCATCGAGCACTATAGCCCATGGCTTTAGGTATACTGTACGTTTGTTTGGAGCAGTGAGTAGTGCAGTAAGTTGGCTCAGCAAGGGGAGGAAGGGTCCTGCTGAGGCATTCACTCATTTCTTGAGAAGAATCCGCTTCCCTTCTTCAGAAGCCCAAAGGCTGTATTTTTTGCATGATTCAAGCGATTCAAGCGATTTTTTCAAACAGTCTTTGACTCCCAGGGTCATACTCTATATTACTCTATCATCGTTATCTCCCCGCTCCCCATTGATGCTCCTTTTCTGGCGTGATGTAGCATAATCATAATCTATCATAATCTAGCAACCCACGACCTATATAACCAGTGACAATTCTGCAGCCTAGCCCTCATGTCTATGTTTAATAATGATTTTCGACCCGATGGAAAGACTTGGGATAAGATTGCAATGAACAGCTTGTTGTAGACTTCTATCTTGACCTCTCAATCTGAAAAATCATGCGGTTTCCACTTCCACGTGACCTACAGCTCCTGGTCCAAGCTCCACATCACCGGCTTCCCCTCGCCGCGGACGCCTGGATCGTAATGGCATCGATGCGCACGGTGACGCACTGCCCCGCTTGCTCGGCGCTGGCCTGGTCGGACCGGATCAAGCGTAAGCAGCGCAAGGCGATCATGATTAGAGGGGTGATCAGAGTAGACACAGACTTCAAGATGTCGGAAGTATGTGGAGAAGGTACATATGTTGGTACGTCTAAACCACCTAAACTTGGCGATGGTGATGCCATCTGAAACCACTGTACTGTACTGTGCATGTGTTGTTCATCGCTGCATGTGTTCGGAACGCCTGAATTCCCACACAGCCCAGCACTGAGACCCGCGGGGGAAACCACGTTTGTAGATCATGGATTCTTCATGATTCTCATTCTCCCCAAGGTGATGAATTCCATCCCAAACACTCCATGGGACTGCCATATTTGCCGATCAGTTGGGGTGGTTTTGGGGGTCAATGTAGGCATATGTGGCAGTCCCATGGAGTGTCTGGGCATTGAATTCCTATGTCCTTTCTCCTCCAAGGGTTTGTTCAGTTCATGACAGCCATCCCATCTATGCCAGGTGCCCGTACCGGCCACAGCTTGCGCGCACAGCGGTAGATCTCTGCCAGAATCTCCAAGCGGCGCACGGGGCTGTCAGTACCCATCCTGGCGCTCGGTGTGCCGCCCAAGGGCGCCGATGCCGGCGTCAATGCTTTTGGAAAGAAACAACGAAGGCAAGTGCTTTATTTGGAGAACAATTTCCTCATGTTTCCTCTGTGTTGATCTTTTTCACCATCGGATTTCTTGAAGCTTACCAGCTCAGCTTCTTCCAGGGAGCGATGTGTTTCGCTTCGGTAAGCTGGTGTGTTTGTCAGTCCTTGCGAAGCACATGTTTGTCAGAATGATGGATTAATGACAATGAGTTCGACCCGGGGAAAGGACGGACCCTGAAGTCTGATGCTGTGTCCAGAACGGCATTCGAAGGGGTAACTGGCGCCCCAAAACCAATGCCATTGGGGTGCTGGCTCGGTCTCATGGCCCTTCAAAGCAACCAGCTCTCCAACCAGCTCTCCCCGCAACCCAAGCTCAAGAGAATGACAGTACACCAAATTGTATGCTTGATTGTAGGGTGGGTATGAAACATCTCAAAAAGCACGACCACACTTCTTGCAATATCTCAAAATCACCCTCAAATCATGAATCAAAAGGAATCAAGACTTTGGCCTACAGGCGTATGGCATCTCTAAGGGGCTTGCTGGCCTGGGGCTGTCCCAGAGTAGGGGCCCGGGGCGGAAAAAAAGGGCACACGAACCAAAACATGCAATCGACTGGATCGATGGGGCCTCTTTTCAAAGAAAACAAATGCACCATAAACACGGCTGCCATCACCTGCCACACACCCCACCGTAGGTCCACAGGGTGCGCACAGTAGATCCCGCTCCGCCCCTTGGTCCCTTGGTCGAGCTCGAAGCGCCCGACCCTGGACCCTGCCTCTGCAAGAACGCAGGCCCATAGTAGACCAAAAAGGCTGGTCCCAACAACTCTTGCCTCACCTGGGAACGGAGATCGAAGGTGATCGCAGGAACGGATCCAACATGTCAACCGATATGGCCATGGTGTTAAGATGTTTTAAGAGAGTTTTCTGGTGAGCTGCTATGGGCCATGGCATTGGCAAGGTTTCGTGAACAACCCGTAAGACTTATGTGTCTCCAGATTGCTGAGAGGTTACGCTCAGGCGGCTACTAAACTGCATTGGACCATCCTGGCTGTCATCTCTTCTAAACCTTACAGCTGTGTTGACGAGTAACCTGGGTGTCTGGCCTGCAGTAGCGGCAAAAGGAAAGCAAACACAAATCATTAGGCATGTCGTGTTGAAAGGTCAATGCTAACTTTACAGTAAATTGAAACCATAAGTTAAAGGCAACATCTATATACCCAAGATCGTTCTCAAAGCTCTGGGTGGACGAGAAAAAAGCAAGCGCGACGCGCGTACGCGGCGCGTCTCTTAAGGCTTTTCCGCCACATCCACAACCCCTGCATCATCATCCACACCAAGCAACGGAATCTGGGACAAATCCCTTGGAAAAGCTTTGATTCTCAGCACCTCACCGTGCGTTCGGCGATGCAAACTGACGCGAAGAACACGCGCCATCGCGTGTTCTTAGCCGGCCAACCCTATAGGGAAGTGCACCATTTCACCAGCGTTACATCGATTCAACAACGGTCATTTCTGTGTTTATTTGAAACAACGGTCCATGATGGTCATTTCTTCAGAAGTCGGTTCTGTGTTTCGCTCCTAGACCAACCACCTGTGCCGGACAAGGGTTGTCTCGCACTCGCCCCGGCTTGGGGGCACGTGCAGGTGGTTACCACTAGTAGCACATAGCTACTAGTAGCTTCTTGCTACTAGCGGCTAGCAATGCACCTGTTCCTAATAGCGATGTACCTCCTCCACAGGTTGCCCTGCTGGATCTCATCTCCACTCTTGGCCTTACCCGGAAGGAACCCCTTCCAAGAATGAGCCCCCAACCTTCGGTCGAAAGAAACATCTTGGGCCACACACACCTGGACATCGGAACGGCGCATCTGAGCCCCAAACCCGTGCGTGCCATCTCCACACTCAGGACCTAGCAGGGCACGGTCCGGTGTTCGATGCGTTTAGGGATCTGTTGAAACAAAGACATGGGCGATGGAGTTGAGAGACTTCTTCACTGCTAAGCATTTGGGGAAAAACTTTGCCAAATCGAAAGCGATCTTCTCAATCGATCACCAGGGCGTTTTCAGTTTTATCCACAGCCCCTTCTCATGGATTGCGGAAAGTCGAAAAAAAAGGCATCGGAATTTGGCTTTCTGACATGCGTTTCACACACACCATCACACAGTGATACATCACGCTTCTGCTCGAGTTGGTTGCTGATGGTCAACCTGGGCATCCTTCCCTTTCCAAGGAAATGCGTAATTTGCTGCAGGGGTGGGGGGCGTTTTGCCGCTCCTTCCATTTTTGAAGCACAGGAATCACTGCGGAACAGTCAAAGGACATACGACTCCGGTTTGGAAACTTGACTCCCCACGCCCCACATGGCTCAAATCGACAGGCTGTAGCGCAGCTAAGAAACCAAAACTCTAGCAAATGGACAGAATTCACCCACCCTATATACAATGCTAGCTAAAGCTTTACTGGCATGTCCATTTTCAGCCGTAGCTCTGGCTCCCAAGCTCCCAATATACCGGAGAACCCCCCGAGTCCACTGGCAATCTATACCTGGAACCCGGAATTGCCGCTTTTAGGTTTTCTTCAGTTGCTCTAGCCTCTAAGCAGTTGCTTGGCTGCTGGATGTGTGTGTGTGTGTGCCAAGACTCATGACACATGGAAACAAATGGAAACATTACACATGCCTCAGCCAGGCATAATTATCAACTTGGCTTGGCATGGACATTCTGATCTGATCTCTGGAAAGGTCTTCGCCATGTACAGGGGCCACAAGAATTTCCAGGGTTCAAGTCGAAATTAGAAGTAGTCTTAAGGGATGAAGTTGGGCTTGGGTGAAAACTAGGCGATCCACAACACAAAATACCAACGTCAAACCTTGGACACACACACACACACATTCACTTAAAAGCATGAAGCCATGCTGACGCCATCACTTAAATATATGACAAGCACCTCAAAGTAAAACTATTTCAGAAATACCAACAGTGTCAGTGTTTGCCCAGGCCCAGGCATACAAACTGTCAAACATAGTGAACACACCGAACACTTATATACTCCACGTCCAATAAACAAAAACACGTCTTTCTCCAGGTGGGGCTGTTGATTCGCTCTTGTCCAGTCCATCGGTCCGACTACACACCGCGGTGTGCCTCTTGATCATCTGGCGACAGCTTTTCGAACGCGTCGAGGACAATCTTGGCATTCCCCTGAGCCTTGGCAAAAGGTCTGAAGAAGCCGCACTCCGGTCAGCAGAATCATGAACTATATACATGTCCAGCACATGGCTTCAGCTGTCCATCTCTGATGTACCCCTTTAAACAAGAAAAACACCCCAATAATTAATTGAAAAAAAACAGTCCTAACCAGAAACACATGGACTGAAACTTCACCGTCCCAACATGTCCCTTGTTATAAAGGATCTCAAGCTGGCGCCGCTTTGTCGAACGACCCTTCTCCTTCCTGGCTGGGAGTGGGTTTCTGTCCGTCTTGATTTGTCTGCGGGTAACCGGTAGCAGGGATAACAACTCGTCTGTTGAACACCAAGGCTGACATAATATTATGGCAACCAGGAGACCTTCCCCAGGTTTGTTCAGAAGCTCTCCAACTCTGCAGCCCTTTAATAGGTGTTTAATGTTGTTGAGATGCCTAAATAGGCTCCCCCTCTAGGCTCTACTGAAGAGTGGCAGGATGGGCACCGTGTGAGCCCAAATCACCGGCCAGTTAGGCAAATGATTGGAAGGAACCCGGAGTGGTGATAGCCCCTGTTCGATTGCACATGGAACGCATCAAGCCTTCACTGATGATGAACGATTCTGCTTGGTGGGACGACTTGACCACACATTGCGATGAAAGTCTTGTCTAATAAATGAATATGTATATACTGTATATTATAGTTTTCCAAAAAACAGACCTATAAATCCGCCGACCCCACACCGTGGGGTGAGGCGTGACTGTCGATGTTAGCCTTAGCCTTAAGCCTTAGCCTTAGCCTTAGACCTTAGACCTAGTCCTTAGCCTTAGACCTAGACCTAGACCTTACCTCCCCTACCCCTCCGGACCCTTGTTGCAGTGACGAAATCTCGCCCTGAGCAACCCGGGAATTGTCCAAGATTCTGCCATCCCAATTGATTTACATCTTGGGGCACCCTCTCGACCCGCGCGGGAAAATAAGCACGGTCCAAAATGGTCCTGGGCTCGAATCCCGGGCTGGTCGCGGCATGGTCCCGGCCAATGCCCTTGCTTTTTCGTAGACTTTGTCACGTTTTCTGTTGGTTTATGAAATTTTCAAAGGCTTTTCTGGCATTTTCCTAGGAATGCTCTAGGCTTTGTCTTTTTGGGTACCTGCTTTGGTGGTGCTGGGTTGGGTCTAAATTGGTAAACCTGGGAGGTACCCAAAAAGTCGACTTTTTGGGTACCTGCTTTGGTGG